AGTAGTAGTAGTACTAATAGTAATCGTAATCGTGGTAGTTCGCCGTAGTAGTAGTAGTAGTAGTAGTAGTAGTGGTAGTGGTAGTGGTAGTGGTAGTGTTAGTAGTAGTCGTAGTAGTTGTAGTAGTAGTAGTCGTCGTCGTCGTCGTCGTCGTCGTCGTCGTCGTCGTCGTCGTCGTCATCGTCGTTTTCGTCGTGGAAGTAGTAGTAGTAGTAGTAGTAGTAGTAGTAGTAGTAGTAGTAGTAGTAGTAGTAGTAGTGTAGTAGTAGTAGTAGTAGTAGTAGTAGTAGTAGTAGTAGTAGTAGTAGTAGTAGTAGTAGTAGTAGTAGTAGTATAGTAGTAGTAGTAGTAGTAGTAGTAGTAGTAGTAGTAGTAGTAGTAGTAGTAGTAGTAGTAGTAGTAGTAGTAGCGTAGTCGTAGTCGTAGTAGTAGTAGTAGTAGTAGTAGTAGTAGTAGTAGTAGTAGTAGTAGTAGTAGTAGTAGTAGTAGTAGTAGTAGTAGTAGTAGTAGTAGTAGTAGTAGTAGTAGTAGTAGTAGTAGTAGTAGTAGTAGTAGTAGTAGTAGAGGAGTATGGTAGGAGGAGGAGGAGGAGGAGGAGGAGGCGAGGAGGACGAGGAAGGAGAAGGAAGAGGATGGGGAGAGAGAAGAGGAGTAGGAGGAGGGGAAGAGGAGGAGGAGGGGAGGAGGCGGAGGAGGAGAGAGGAGAAGCAGGAGGGGGGAGGAAGAGGGGGAGAGGAGGGAGAGGAGGTGGGGGGGAGGAGGAGGAGGAGGAGGAGGAGGAGGGAGGAGGAGGTGGAGGATGAGGAGGAGGAGGAGGAGGAGGAGGAGGAGGAGGAGGAGGAGGGCTTTCTACAGCCTGGGGTTGGCTCTTGAGGGCGGCCGGAAGCGCCAACGCCCTGCCCTCTCTACGCTGCGAGGAGTGCGCCTCAGTGCACTGAAGCCGTCCAAACTGGCCTTCCAAAGGTCGAGCTGGGGCTTCAAAACCGCCAGATCGGGTGGCTTAGCTGCCCATCTGCGCGGCTCAGGTGATTGGCGTGTCTTCCACCACCACCACCACCATAAGATGGAGGGGGGGATCATCCTCCTCCTCCTCCTCCTTCTCCTCTTCGTCCACCTCCTCCTCGCCCTCCTCCTCCTTTCCCCTCCAACTTATGGTGGTGGTGGTGGAAAACAGGCTCATGATCAGGGGTGCCAGTTCCAACGTAGGAGTGGAACCAGGGACATGGAATGACCATCTCAACTGCCGGTGTTCGCTGGGACGCCGCGGAACCAGCCATGATAGGATAGGCAGCATGTGGCAACGCATCATCGCAACAAGCAAAGTATCCACAATGGAAGAATCAACGACAACAACCAGGGGCACGCCGGTGACGAGACGCCTTGGCGCGGAAGGGGCATTCCAGTCCAGCTTTCAGGCCGAATGGAGGAGGATGAGGAGCATGGAAGGCAGAGGAAGCGATGGATGAGGCGGAGAAGGGGGATGAGGGGAGAAGGAGGGGAGGAGGGGAAATATCAAGAGGGGGAGGAAGGGAGAAGGAGGGGAGCAGGCGGAGGAGGAGGATCATGAGGAGGAAGAGGAGGACGGGGAACCAACATGAGGACGAGAAGCGTCGGGAGGGGAGAAGGACTCCTCCGTCTCCGCGTCCCTCCCTTTCTGGTCCTCCTTCTCCCTCCCTCCCGCTTCTCCTCGTCCTCATCTCTTTCCTCGTCCTCGTCCTCGTGCTCGTCGTCGTCGTCCTCCTCCTCCCCCTCGTGGATCCTGTTGCTGCCCCTCCTCCGCCCCCCCCAACAAAACGTGTACCCGCGGGCGCCGCACGGGAACGGCGGGCACAGGCTCAGCGGCTGGTCCCGAGGACGGGGGTCGGCGTTCGAACTTGGCCGGAGGGAGGAGGAGGCGGAGGAGGAGGAGGGAGGAGGAGAAGGAGGAGGAGGGGGAGGAGGAGGAGGAGGAGGAGGAAAAGGAGGAGGAGGAGGAGGAGGAGGGAGGAGGAGGAGGATGAGGAAGGAGGAGGAGGAGGAGGAGGTGGAGGAGGAGGAGGAGGAGGAGGAGGAGGGGGGGGGAGGAGGGAGGAGGAGTAGGAGGAGGGGGAGGGGGAGGAGAGGAGGAGGAGGGAGGAGGAGGGTAGGAGGAGGAGGAGGAGGAGGAGGGAGGAGGAGGAGGAGGAGGAGGAGGAGGAGGAGGAGGAGGAGGAGGAGGAGGAGGAGGAGGGGGAGGAGGAGGAGGAGGAGGAGGAGGAGGAGGAGGAGGAGGAGGAGGAGGAGGAGGAGGAGGAGGAGGGGCCAGAGAGGCTCGCGTCGTGGACAAAATCACGACGGGAGGTGCTGGGCAATTGCTTCGCCTCTGGGGGCCCTCGCCGGGTCCAGGGGTCTGCAGAAAACACGACTCAGGGGTCGAGACTTCCAGGGACCGCGTAAGTATTGAAAACATCGAGAAGTTGCATGTCTGGGGAGGATTGGCGGCGCGCAGAAAGAGGTAGGGGAGGGGGGAGGGCTTCTTAGAAGGGGATTGCTTCTTAGAAGGCGCCGGCCTTACATGTATGGAGAAGGCCCGCGCATTCTAAGAAGTAATGATGCTTCTAAGAAGCCTTCCCTCCTCCCCCTACCTCCCTCTGCGAGTGGCCGAGAGGAGGGTGACGATTGGCATCGGAAGCAGGAGAGCCCAGAATCCAATCGATAAGTCGAATCGGCGATCGAAACGGATCGGATCGGCGGCAATCGGCATCCAAGTCGGGAGAAGTCGAATCGGCGGAAATCGGCAAGCTAGTAAGGCCTCTATTGACAAACCGAGATCCGAATCGGAATCCGAAGCCGAATAAAATCAGAATCGGAACCGATCGAAATCGAATCGAACCGAGTCGGAGTCGACATCAGCCCTGTCAGAGATGCGCCGCCAGAGAATGTCCACATCCACTGCCGCGGGGTCGTGTCCCGGGTACTCGGGGAGCGGCAGATAGATTAACTGAAGATCTGCCTGCCCGAGCGGGCAGGCAGATATCCAGGTCCACCGTGGTCCTCGAAATCGGAAGGAACGACTCCGAAGCGGTGGATATGGACATAGTCTGGCGGTGGAAGAACCGGATGGGGAGGGATGAGAAGGAGCGAGGGGTGGTTGGGGCGCACCCAAACATGCGATGTCCTGCTGATGTGTTCGATACGGGGTCCCCCGGAGTCCCGACCCTTTCCCCAAGGCCAGGTTTTTTTTTGTCCCGAGTCTTTTTGACGGTCCCAGGTCCCAGTAAGAGCCCCCAGGGGCGAAACAACTGCCAAAAGCCTACCGTCGTGATATTTCCACGGCGCCAGCATGTCTGGGCAACGCTCGCCCTGGTCGGGAAAGCTCTGATGTCCAGCAGCCTGCTCCACCCGGTCGATGACCCGACCCGCCGCGTGGAGCGCCACCTCGACCAGCTCGGGGTCCTCCCCGTCGTCCTCCGATACGGCGCTGATGATGGGCGGCAGGACGTCGGACAAGTGCCTCCAAGAGAGGAGGCTCCCAGACCTCACATGCGATCTGTTTTTCCCAATCCAGGCGTTTCTCCTCGAGTTCGGCCTCTGGGACCGCAGGCTGCTCAGGCCATCTCGGAAGGTGTCAGGGTCTGCGGCACGCCTGCTCTGATCAGCAGCAGGCACTTTGCCAGTCGCCGACTCCGAAAAACCATGACGCCCCCCCCCCTCCCCGAGCATTGGCACCTCTTGGCGGGGGGCGATCTTTCCTCCCGCCAGTTTCCGCCGTCGGAACCGCCCTCGTTTTGCTCCCGCCGCCCTGGGCCCGCCTTCCGCCACCTGCCGCAGGGGAGGAGACGTCAACTCCTTTCGCCTTTGAAGGCAAGGCCTCTCCTTGAGTGCGCCACGTAGTGTGCACTCTCCCGGCCGAGTCTTGCCAAGTTGTATTGCAGACTTGACAGGGGCCCCAGGACACACGAATAAATACACACGCGCACACATGAACATACCCCACCCCCCCGTGTTTTCCCATAGTTTGGGGTTCTTGCCTTCCCCCCCCACTTCCCATAGTTTCCCATATTTTCTGGGGGATCGACGATTCATTGTGTGCTTTTCCCTCCCGAAGACTGGCCGCGTGCCGGCAGGCCGTGGTGGCGGCGGCACGCAGGAGAGGGCGAGCCGAGGCGAGGCGGCGTCCGCGGCAGCGGCTCCGGAGCCCAAGCGAAGACGCACTCCCTGCCGCGGCCGGCCGCGGCAATCACGGTCGGCGGTCTGCCGGGACGTCGCTCGACTCCGCTCTCGTTTTTCTCAGCTCCTCCTCCTCCTCCTCCTCCTCCTCCTCCTCCTCCTCCTCCTCCTCCTCCTCTTCCTCCTCCTCCTCTTCCTCCGCCCTCTCCTCCTCCGCCTCCTCCGCCTCCTCCGCCCCTACAAGTCTACAGGGGGGTCGCAGCACGCTTGGCCGCGATGCACCATGGGGCCGCTTCTGGCCAGAGGCCCTCCAGGTGAGGTGGCACATGGCCGCCCCAGAAGCGCCCTCAGAGCAGGTCTCTGATGTGATGGGTGCGCCTGGGAAGCGAGATCTGCCACGCAAACTGTCGAGCAACAGCCGGCCATGGGCCAACCCTTGCCGATGTCACGAGGCCCGAGCAGGTAACCCTGACAACACAAAACGATGGCTGTGGCCATCGGCGCTCCCGCTCCACACGGACATGGAATAGTCAAACTCGAGCGAGGCAGTTTCGAAGCCTCTTGGACAGGTTCCTCTTGCGCGGCGGGGGGAATACTGGGGCGATTGGCGCTCCTGCGTGGCCCCCGAGCAGATGTCCACACAAGCCAGCGCTGCCTCCTCGGCTCCTCAGGCGGGACCCCGCCAAGCCGAACGCGCGCCCGTCCGCGGGACGAGCCACACCAAGGCGGCCCTGCATTGTAGCCCAGCGGTCCCTTCCGTGTGATCCCCCCGGGCGCCTGTGCACGGTGTGCGTGTCGGGCACGACCGCCAGGGCAGCCAGACCCTGCAGCTGCAGCTTCGTCCAGCCGTCCTTGCGCGGCAAGGGGGGGTGGGACGCGCCGACGCGGAAGCAGCTCGAGCGCGCACTGCCCCGGCTCCAGCGGCTGGGAGAGGATGGCACTCCACGTCCATCCCCCGACGACCCCTCCCTCGCTTCCACACCGAAGGGGCGGTTCTCGCGCTCGGGGTGCAAGGAGACCTCGAAGGAGCTCGGGCCTTCCTGTCTTTGCCCTCCCCCCAACCGCCTCTCCGCCTCTGGCCCTTAGGGGCGAGTGCGGGTGGATCTCGCATGCGTGGCGAAGGTTGGAGGGTCAACGTGCACTTCTGAGGGGTCGAGGGCACCACGGCCAGAAAGCATGGTTCATGAATTCCTGGGAGGAGCCCCTATTCCGCCATTAGAACGCACTCTTGTGATGAGGCAGACAAGCCAAGGCACATGGTAGCCAGCGTGGATCACACACAGCGAAGTACTGCAATGCAAAGCGTGTTGTAAGCCATGTTAGGTGTGGAATAGTTTGCGGTGGGAGCTATGTGGTGCAAGCTATGCTCTGCAAGCTCTGTGCTGCAAGATAATATGTGTAAACTATGTGTTGCGAACTGTGTGGTGTGAGGTTGCCTGTGAAAAACAACGCGGAGGAAACTGTGCTGAGTAGCCTCAACGGTGTGATCTGCATGCCGTGAGCCTTCCTGTGTCACGTAGAAGGTGTAGGCTCTGGTAAAAGCTATGCCGTGCAAGCTATGTGGTGTAAACCACGTCGTGCAAGCCTTGTGGGGTGTGTTAGGTGGTGTGAGCTACGCGTTGCAAGCCAAGTGGTGCATGCTGCGTTGCCTGAGCTGTGCTGTGCATGATCGCAGACCCATCGGGTACCCACCTGCGGGGTGTGAGCTAAGTGGTGCCGTCTGCATGGTGCGAGTTCTGTGGTGTAAACACTGTGGCGCGGCGACGGGCGGGAACGGGGCCGACGGGCCCTGTATTTAGAGGGGCCCTGGGACACACAAATAAATACACACAAATACCCGGATTCCCCATATTTTCCAATATTTTCTGGGTTTCTGTCTTCCCCCCCCTTCCCATATTTTCTGGGGGGATCGACGATTAATTGTGTCTGTGTGTTTTTTCCCCTCGTGAGTATTGCGAAACGTGGGTTGGCAACGGATGGGAACGGGGCCGCCGGGTCTGCGGACGGGCCCAGCTCCCTATAGGAGGGTCGCAAGAAGAGCCCCTGCGCGCACGCAACTGCCTGGGGAGAACGGTGCCGCCACGTGGGGCCCCGAGCAGCAGGCTCTCTATAGAGCCCTCCCCGCTGCTGCTGCTTCAGCGCGTCGAGCTCCCAGCGGCGTGATGTGCCATCGCTCGAGGTGCGACGTGGGGAGTCGGCGGGCCGTCCTAGGGGGCCACGTGCGAACCCTACCCCCACCCCCCACGATTTCTGAGGGGTAGGGTGGGGCTCACTTCGCTCGGGAGCTCCCGAGCGAAGTGAACCGCCCCCTCCCCCTCAGAAATCGTGGGGAAGGTGGGGTAGGGCTCGCATGTGGCCCCCTATGTCCTGCCACGGGGCCGTCTTCGCCTCTTTCCTCCCAGGCGAGAGCTGTGCGGCGCAAACCGTGCCGGCGGTAGGGCACCCACAGCAGGAAGCCGGCAATTCGAGCACCCGCCAGGGCGCACCAACCATATGGGGCAACAAGCATAGCGCACGGATCAGAGGTAGAGGAGCATGTATGGCATCAGCCACCCTGACCTTCCAGGAAGGCAAAAAAATAGCACGCGATTTAAAAACGTATCCCAGAGCTATTCTACGTCTTGGTTTTAGGCTGTTTCGTTTAGTTGTTTCTTATGTTTTTAGGCCTCCCGTGCTAAAAAATAGCTCTCTGGAAGGTCAGGGCATAGGGGGTCGTATGGTACAAAACGAAGGCAGCGACCAGTCATATGGTACTACCCATGGGCATCTGTCGTAGGCTAGGGCCTTCTAGAGGCGACCGGGGGGGCTGAACTGGATTGGGCCCGAGAAAATCGATCAATAGGGGAAGGGGGACAAAGCCGAATCTGGCCAAAATCGGTCCCTGGAGCCCATCCGGGGTCTATCCCAGGGCTCGAAGACGTCCCCGGGAGACAGCCAAAGGCAAACCACCTTTCCGAACCCAGCACCCACCTCGAACCTGACGGCCCCCCCCCCCTTCCTGCTGGCCGGAACTAGTGCAGGACCCTCAGACCCCCAGCCGGCTCCAACATGGGCACCTATCACAGGCCAGGGCACCAGCCATAGGGCTCCCCCCATAGGCCGCCAACCATAGGGCAGCCGTGAGGCAACAGCCGTGCGGCACCAGCGCGACCACGGCCGACTGTGCCGCTCGGAGCCAGTTCCTCAGAGACCCCAGGTCAGACCCCCAAGCGCAAGCACCAGGGCTCGACATAAGCAGTGTTTTTGTTGATGTTTTGTTTCAGTGTTCCGTCGCTCCGTCTTCGTTGCTCCTTGGCTGCAAGACGAATTCAAAACGAACGCGTTCCACGAGATCGCCCAAACCCCCTTTTGGGTCGAGCCCTGGCAAGCACTGCCTGGGGAATCGTGCGCATGTGCGCGTGGGCATATATTTCTCGACATCGGCGCTGTTCGCCAAGGCGATAGCGGGGGCACCAGGAGGTTGATGAGGAGGAGGAGGAGCGAGGAGGAGATGGAGGAGGATGAGAAGAAGGAGGAGGAGGAGGAGGAGAAGGAGTGGGAGGAGGAGGAGGAGGAGGAGGAGGAGGAGGAGGAGGAGGAGGAGGGGGAGGAGCGAGTAGGAGCGAGGAGGGGCGAGGGCACTGCAGTACGCCAACGTCCGGGCACCAACCACAGGGGCGCCGAGCGCGAGCGGCCGCCCCATGACACCCCAAGGTTTGGACGCCCGACGTGGGCACGGACAAACAGATCAGCACGATGCCCCGCAACGACTGTTGTCCAACACCGACGACGCCCAGCTGCTGGGCCGGCGGCCTCCGTCTCGGATGCCTGCGGCCCGCGGCGGCACCGACCGCAACTCCGGATCAGAAGGGCTGTCTTCGTCCTCGTCATGCCCGTGCTCATCTCGATGGTACCGATCAGGGCGCCACCGGGCACCAGCGATACGTGGAGCACCGACCACTGGGGCACCGGCCACATGGCACCAGACGCGAGCGGCCGACCACGGGCACCGCTAAGTGCCAACCACGGCCGCCAGGGCACCAGCGGGGATCCAAGCACAGGGCACCAGGCGTATGGCAGCAGAGCGCCGAAGGCAGGCTGCGCCGCACAGGGCGCGTCCCTCAGAAGCCAAGTGAAGGAGCCCCAAGAAGTGCCAGCACTGCGTTGGGACCTGGTTCAATCCATGTCGATGCACCTCGATCCTGCTCAACTCCACTCCTCTGCTCTGTGCTGCATTTCACGGCGTGCAGTCTCATCATGCGGAGTGATGTCGCGTGCTCTTCAACCCGTTTGCACAAATCCCTGGACTCATTCAGTACCTTCAGCTGTCATTCGCTTACTTGGCCATGCCCAGCTGTTCCGCACAATTCGTAACGCTCGCTCCATCAATCCTCCCCACACCACACCAATCCATCCAGTCCCGCTCCATCTCATCCAATCACATAGGGTTCCGCACTACCGCCTGGGGGGAGTGAGACGAGCGTGTGCCATATCCACCCTCTTGCACAGAGATTGCCACGTCGAGGAAGCGACCTGTGCGCCGTGCACGAACGCCGCCTGCGCACGATGCTCCCGTGGTCGTCTGACCACCCCCGGAGCAGGACGGCCACAACACTTTTTTGGTCTGCGGGTCGAGAGCGGGCCTCTTCCGGTTAAGAGCTAGGCGGGGCGCGCAAAGCACTAATTGGGGAGACAGGGCGCGGGCGGGCGGGGCCTCAGGCGGCCGGAGGGTGCGGGGTGCAGGCGGTGCCGAAGAGCTTGTACAGGAAAAGGTACGCCTTGGACAGGAGCCGGAGGCGAAGTTCCGGAGGGGGAGCGAAGTGGTGTTGCGACGGCTACAACACACAACACCCTCGCGTCTGCCCACGAGCCGCGCCGCCGCCGCACCATCCCCCGAGGCCGAGCTCGTGCCCGAGGCGCGTCCGACAGACACACCGAGCGCAACCAAATCAGGCCGGCCCCGCGGGCCTCCCCGCAGCCCCCAGCATCCGAAGCAGCGGTCTTTTCGCAGCGCAGCTTCCACTTGCCATCCCAGAAGCCGAGAGCGGCTGGACACCTTCCGCCGCGCTCCTTTCCTGCGGCGCGAGGGTGTCTGACTGCGTCGGGCTATAACTCGGGTCACCAGCGGCCGCTCGGGAACGCCCTCGGCGAGTTGCAGCTGCCGGAGAGCATCCCGAGTCTGGAAAACCTCTGGGGACCGACGAGCGCGTCCGGAAAATATCGCGGGGAGACCTGTCTCGGCGCCGGCCCTCCATCTCTAGAGAAGGCCCCGCGCCTGCTAAGAAGCAGAAGCGCTTCCAAGAAGCCTTCCCCCTCCCCCCTCCCCCTACCCCTCTTCTGCGCGTGGCCGACTTTCGGTCCGACTCTGTGTTCCCACGGCGCGGGGATGGCAGGCGCCGCTCTCTCCGCGCCCCAGGGGCCGGCGAGGGCCACCGCCGGGCCGCTGGGCAGCCCGCGCCCCCCCCCCCGGGTCCTGGCCCCGCTGCCCGAGCTGGCTGAGCACGAGCGGCAGCACCTCGCGGGCGAGAGAGGTGCGGCTCCGCATCCGCGGGCCTCGCGGGCCAGGCCCCGGGGCCGCGGCCTCGCGGTTCCCAGTGCCCCCTCGGGCATTGAGCAGGTCACGCGGGGAGGTGCTTCGCGATTCTGGGCGTCAATGGGGCCCTCACCCTATTGAACAGATCACGAGGGGAGGTGTTTCGCGACTCTGGGCGTCAATGGGGCCCTCACCCGTCCTCGGGACCGCCAGGGAAAGACTCGGGACGAGAAACTGGCCCCGGGGACTGGGCCCAGACCTCGGGGGTCGACGCAATGAACAAATCATGACTTGGTGGCGCGCACAAGGGGGTAGGGGGAGGGGGGAAGGCTTCTTAGAAGCAGGCTGCTTCTTACAAGGCGCAGGCATTGCATCTATAGATAAGGCCCGCGCCTTCTGAGAAGCAGGGGTGCTTCTAAGAAGCTCTCCCCCCTCCCCCTACCCCCCTCTGCGCGGGGGTCTGGGATGCAGGACGTTTTTGTCACCCCTGCCCCGCGCGGAACGCGTCCGTGCGACCGCGTGTCCGCGGGATCGCGCCCCCGAGTCCGGCCCGCGAGGGCGCGGCCACGGACAGGTTCGCCGGTCGCGGGCACCGTGGGCGCGGACTCCTCCAGCAGCTTCTCCAGGCCGCTGAGGAGCTTGTCGTGCTCCTCGGCCTCCTCCTGGGGGCCGTGGGGCGCCGTGAGGGGGCGATGGTGCGCGAGAAGTGAGGCGTGCGGGTGAGTGCGCGCCTCGTCGCGGTGGGCCTGGGTCGAACCCGATGAGCCCAGGACCACGCGACCACGAGGTGGAAGACGACAACCCTCAGACGACGAGCGCAACCATGCCGCCGTGCGATTTGACTTCACCTGGGCTCGGGAAAGCGGCGCGCCGTTACTCCAATCCTCGGGCTGCCCTGGGGCAGGCTAGGCATGAGGAGACGAAAGAGTGCGGGGAGTGGGGGGCAGCGGGGAGCAGGGTCGACGTTTCTCGACGAATCAAATCTCCCCCATGGGAGGAAAACGGGAGATGGAAAGGAAGGGAAGAAGGGGAGTGGGAATGAGATGGGGGATGGGGAGTGAAAGGGTTGGGGGTGAGGCGGGGGAGAGGGATGGGGGAGCGGGAGCGGGATTGAAATTGGGGGGGAGAGAGTTGGAGGGGGCAGGGGAAGGAGAGGAGGAGCGGGGAGGGGCAGGGTTCGCCGAAGCAGGCTGGGGAAGAGGGGAGACGGAGGGGGAAACGGAGGGAGGACTGCGAGGAGTGGACCTGGGGCCCGTGCAGGGGATTGGAGACCCTGTGTGCTCAGGTCCGGGGCCCGCCCTCAGGCCAGCGTAGGCCTCCTGGGGTGCTCCCAGGTCTAACGCCTACCCCTCCTCGTTCTCCTCCTCTTTGTCCTCATCCTTATCCTCCTCCTTTATCCTCCTCCTCCTCCTCTTCCTCCTCCTCCCCCTCCTCCTCCTCCTCCTCCTCCTCTTCTTCTTCCTCCTCCTCCTCCTCCTCCTCCTCCTCCTCCGAGGTGTTGTGGTCCGAGGCGCCCCATTTTGGGCTAGCGGCCCGACAGACCACGACCCCAGCCCTGAGGGGCGCGGCAGGATAGGACGGGCGCGGACCGATCGCGCTCGCCAGCTTGGCATCGCCGAGCCAGGCGCGAGCGCGCCAGAGCCCGCGCGCGCTTACAGGAGCTGAAGGACATTGGCAGACTCACTGGCCATCACGGGAGTGCCGTGCCGATGGCCAAGGGTGCCTACACTCGGTGTCCGTCATGCTCGGTATGCGAGTGGAATTCGATACTAGTGCAGAGGAAGTGCAAGTGCAAGTGTGGAACGTACCTCGAGCTGCACAGCCCCAACCCCAAGAGGAAGTCGGGCAAAGGCAAAGGGAAGGAGCAGACGCAGCTCGAGTTGGGTTTGCCTGCAGCTTCGCAGTCGGCGTCGGCCTCTCACGACTCAGCGGCGATCCTGCAGCAGGCCATCCTGGTGACGCAGGACCCCGCGATCAAGCTAGTCCTCCAGGCGGCGCTGGCGAAGCAGGCTCAGCCGCCGCCCAAGCCAGCCGTGTCGGCAGGCGAGGCGCACAGGCGGGCTGAGGCGGCCTGGAGGGACGCCAACTCGAAGCACGACGCGGCGGTGAAGGCCGTGGCGAGGGCGGCTGACCAGCTGGCACTGGCGAAGCAGCGCGAGGAGGAGACGGTCCAGGTCCTGGCGCATGCGGAGGTCGCCAGGAGGACGGCTGTGAGGGCCCTCGCGGCTGAAGCAGGTTTGTCCGAGGGCGGTCAGTCGCAGTCGCCAGCATCTAGCACTGGCAAGAGTGAGTTATGTTTCGATATCGTTTGGGATGAGAAATTCTTCGCGTCGCTCAAGGACGGCGCCCTGGAGTGCGAGGATAGCGAGAAGAACGAGCTGCTCCAGCTCGAGAAGGACCTCATCGCCGCCAAGGGGGTACTCGGCGAGAAGGGCGACAAGGTGCGTGAGTGGCACTCGCGCATGGAGGCCTTGAAGCAGGAGCTCTCGGAGCGGACGAACAAGAAGCGCAAGGGGCTCGATGGCTCGGCCCAGGAGAAGTCGCAGCCGCCGCAGCCTGGCGATGTCGCGGCCACCGCTGCGGCGGGGGGGCCGACGCCCACCGCCGCCGAGGGCGAGACCGCGGAGGATGTGCAGAAGCGGATCGACGCAGAGGTGGAGCGGATCCGCAGTGCCAAGGCGGCGGCGGCACAGGCGACGGCCGCGACGGCCAACCAGGCAGCTCAGGCGGCGCAGGCGGCGGCTGCCAAGGGCGGCGGGCGCGGCGCTGGCGGCGCTGGCGGCGCCCCCGCTACGGTGCGAGGAGGCGAGGCCTCCGCAGCGCCTCAGCCTGGGCGGCCTGAGGCGGCGGAGGCCGTCAGAGCAGTGCAGCCTGAGCCCCCAGCTGCTACTGCCGAGCGCAGCGCCATCGGCGCAGAGGGACAAGCTACTTGGGCGTGGGGCTCGTCGGCGTCTTCGGCGGGCGTGCTGGACCCTCCTCCACCTGCAGCGCCTCCTAGCGCCGACGCAGGTCCCCCAATGGGGGGTAAGAGAGGGGGATCGTCCAGGGCCACAGGGATTTCGTCTTCAGGTTCGTCTCGGGGTGCTACGACCTCGGGCGCGGCCGCGGCGGCCTCAGGAGCGTGGGTGGCGCCAGGAGCTGGGCAGCCTCAGCTTGGCGACCCCTGCGCAGCTGCAGGCGGTGGCGGTAGCGCGTCTGGCCCGCTTTCGACGTCAGGGGGCGGAGAAGTGGTACAGATCTTTTTCTCGAACATCACGATGTTGGGTCGTAAGTCTTCGGATTACTTGATGCACCTTGCTCAGAGCCAGGCATTCCAGCACCTTGCTTTGTGTGAAACGCATGTGGGCGCGACTGCGACCAACAAGTGGACCAAGTTAGCGCGGCAACATACGCTTAGACTTCTCGCCGACGCTGCTCGAGCAACGGGGACTCACTGTCGCACTGAGTCAGGCAAGCTTAGAGCAACGGAGGGTGGAGAAATGTTTTTTGTCGCAAAGCCATAGACAAGTACATGGGTTGTGCAACGGTCGTTTTGCCGAGCTGTATGTAGAGGGCCAGAAGCAGTTGGATGGGTTTTTGCCAGTTGTGGTCCACCAGCAGGGATACAGTATTGTGATCGTTGTATTTTACGGTAGGTGCAGTCTTGGCATGCGAGCGGAAAGTCTTGCTAGATTCGCTCGGCTCGGCACACTTTTGCAAGCCCTGCAGCTCCCTTGGGTTGTTTTGGGCGATTTCAACCTGACTGCGTCGGAGCTCCAGCGTACAGGTTTCCTTTTCCAAAATTGGGGCGTCGGCGTTGCAGGCCCCTGTCGAGCACGCGTGTGTAGGAGCGTCGGGAGCGTCGCACATAGACTTTGTTTTGGTTTCCAGGGCGGCTGCACCTTATGTCTTGGGGCTTCAGGCCATTCAGGACGTCCCTTGGAAGCCGCACTGTGGGTTAGTTTTGCAGTTGAGAGGGGCTGGCGAGCAGCTGATAACTCGTTCGCTCATCCTGCCCCAACGTTTTGCCCAGGTCTCTCGCCCGCAGCAGCAGGAGACCCCAGGCTCGAAGTCTTCCCAGGCACGGCGGGCCAACGCGCTACGCCAGAGTCTTGCCCGTGGAAAACAATTCGAGCGTTCTACCGAGTTGTTCGGGGATTTGTTGGTAGGATCTCAGGTCACGTCCGCTCCGCCTGCCACTCAGCGTGCCCAGGAGCCAGGGACCTTAGGTCTGCAACCTGGCGAGGAACCTCAGGAGGACCCTGAGACCTGGGAAGGGTGTCACGTAGGTTTCTGGGACGACGAGGTGGATCCTTGGGCCGAGGAGCCCAATTTTGTAGAGCCCCTCCGTCCTCCCCCGCCTCTTTCGGCCTCGTCCTCCCCTCCACCACAGCACGGTGGGCCTAGGAAGGTCTGTGCCGATGCTTCTGTGCCTAGAGGTACCCTGGAAGGGGTACAGGGTGCTCCAATGAATTCGTCTGACCCAGTTCCTGCAGCGAGCGAAGTCACGAATGAAAGTGTTGAGACCCCCCCCCCAGCTGAGATAGACCCGTCACAAGAGGCAGCAAACCAGTCCCACTCCCACGGTGGTGCTCCCACTGTTCCGCCCTCTTCCGCTGCTGTTGCTTTTGCGATCTCACCCGACCGCTGGCGTTTGGCTAGAGCCCGAGAGGGTTTTCATCTCCACACTCCTGATCGAGTCTGGCCACCCATCCGTGACTCGCTTTCATATGCAGTCGGGGGCCCGCATGTGCTCAGCGTGAGCGGGGCTTTCTCGGCGTGGACCGCCACGGTGGAGGCGGTGCATCACGAACACGCAGATACGGACGGAGGAGGATCTCCTTCGAGGGCGGATGGCCCGATCATTCGAGTCGAGCGTGTACATCACTCGCAGCACCACAGAGACATGCCTTTCAGGGATGTGATCGCCAACTGGTGGGAGCGAGTGCACGTTATTATGTGTAACATGGCACGGCATGGACGGCGAGGGAATGGAGCGGTTCAGCTTCGAGACCTCGCTCTGGCTGGGGAAAAACTTGGTTTTCAGGCGCCTGATGGAGTTCAGAAGCTGGTTGGCTCTGGACCGTCGTCTACCTCCTGGGCAGTCTGGCAGCAGCTGTTGCGAGACTTGGCTAGCGTGCCTCACCAGCAGATGGAGATCCTCTGCACAGAGGCAGCGGTCATAGCGGGCAGGGCGCGCGGTCGGGCCATCTCTGCCTCCATGGCTGACTTCAAGGCGTGGATCACGGACAACTCCACCACGGGCGCCGTCTTCAGAGCTTCTAAGGAGGCTATGCAGCCCGCCGACCAGATTGAGGTCGACGGCAAGGTGCTCTACCATCCTCATCACTTGGTGGATCACCGAGCGGCTCATTGGCATAAGCTGTGGACGTCGCCAGAGGTCAAGAGTCGTGAGCAAGTGGTGACCCTCTTCGACAATATTCATGCCCGTGCGAGGTTGGAACCTCTCGACCCGCTGGATGTGGACGACCTACGGAGAGCGTTGCGTGCCATGAAGGCTCGGGCGGGGCAAGGCATTGACTGCCTGTCCCCGCTCGGCCTAGAGCGGCTACCTGATGAAGCGGTAGCCGAGCTAGCAGAGCTTTTCAACATGTGCGAGGAGTGCCACACGTGGCCGTGGCAACTCATGGGTGTCCTGGGGCGCTTGTTGCCCAAGAAGGCT